TTTATGAGCAGAATCTGCAGAAACTTTCTTAAGATCTCGTAAAAACGCACAATGGAACAAAGAGGCGAGGTAAAGAACATTCAGAGCACGCAGCGTTTTACTGAGGTGGAAAAGAATTGAAATGACGGTGAAGTTGGACCCAGATGAGACAGATGAACGCAGTCTGGCTCGATTAAATAGGGTTGAAAGCAGAAGAAGCAGTGCACTGGAAAGCATGTTTACAAGAGTGAGTGGGTGTGTGTCTTAATGTGTCATGGTTATTAATGTAAAACAACTGTGGAATTTTTTTGGATGTCGTTATACATCAGTTTGTTTCTCTCTGTATGTGTGCGCGTCCTCACATCAGGCTAACTATCACTGTCCTGCTGTCGAGTGCAATGGCGTTTCGCTACATTAAATGCTAAAAATATGCTCATTATTTAACATGACAGAGAGAACAAACTATGTGTGTGTTTCAGAGTGTGTGTGTATGTGTGAGTGGAAATGATACTGGTCAAACAGAGATATGTGAAGCATTTAAAACGTAATCCTGTGTCTAGTCAGTGTGTTTAAAGTAAGACTGGATTTGTGTTGCAGTAATAACATCCATCAGTGAAACCAATAGTTATTAATAGTCTTGTTGGCTAGCGTGTGGGTATGTGCGGGACGGCAGGAGAGAGAGAAACAGTTTAGCCACATAAAAAACTACACGTTGCTCTCTCATCAACACCAGTATTTTGCCCTCTGTGGCCCGAGCGACAGCCCAGACTTTGAAGAAGATGAGGCCAGGGATGAAGAGAGAGTGAGCAAGAGACGTAAAGACGGAATGAGAAGAATGATAAACCAGCAGGGTGGGGTGGTATAGGAAAAGACTGAGGGAGGTAGAGAGAGGAAGATATGAAAGATAGATTAGAATCCGTGCCCAAAGGCCGTTTGTGGCCTACTTTCATTTTTTCTATATTTTTTTTCTCCTTTTTTTTTTTATGTGTGTGTGTCTATGTGTGTGTAAACGAGAGATATTATGAGTGTTTTTCTTCTCTCTTTTCTGAAAACCTCTCTGGTGAAAACATAAAGAGAAGGAGGGATGCAATAATGCAGATTGATAGTAATACAGACAGACTGAATAAAGCCTGTAGGGACGTACTGTGTATGAGAAGCAGGCAGACAGGTAGATAGACAGGAGATGGGACTTACGTGTACACTGCTCCAGCTCGATGCTGTTGCTCATGTGGATGTTATCTATTCTGATGTGGCCTCTGGTCGGGTGGTCAAAAAACCCCTCGAACACGACCTGGTTGAAAGAGGAAGATTCTTCATTAAACACAGAGGTTCATGAACAGTTCTGATGTAGTGATCGGCAAGTAATCCCATAAAACACTGTAGGTAATGAGGATCTGGTGCAGCCCTTTAACATGTTGGTGTTTAAAGAGTTAATTAATCATAAAGTTTGTGTTACTTAAACTACACTCTGTATTTCTGTCCCTGGTTGCTACAGCAACAATGAATCATTTTTCTTTCTTTTGTTCTAGTCAATCAAACTCTTTCAGTCTCTCTTTTTATCCGGCAACAGATGGCTATCAACCATTGAGTTTGGTTCTTCAAAACAATTCCTAAAATGTTCATTGTGTGTGAACATGTGCGAATGGTGTCAAGATCTCTGATGTGATTTTGCTCTACGAAAAGAAAAAAAAAAAAAAAAAAAGACTGATTCATTGATTCATTGACCAACACTTGCCTGATATTCCCTGGGGCTTTGGGGCAGGATGGTGCGGCCCTCCCTCCAGTGAGACCCCTGGTCTCCTTTCAGAGCCCATAGCAGTGTCTCCTCCTGGTCACTGTCCTTCAGCAGCACCCTCAGACTCCCCTGTGCCTCCCCCTGGAGCTGGTAGTAGAAGAGGAGGCAGAGCGGGCCTCGCTCGGGCCCCACCTCAGGGCTCATTAGTCGGGCTCGCTTGCGCTGCGTGTGGGCACCTGCGTCCAAGTGGAGGTAGTTCCCTGAGAAACCTGGAGAAAGAGACGAGAAAAGGAGGATGTTTATTTGAGATCAAGGATGTACTTTAGAATAATTAATTAAGTTGTTTAAAAAATGTCTGGGGCCTTCAAAGAAATACATCACCAAGCATATGGGGTTTTAATATAAAGCCTGGTTGTTTTTCCTGTGCTTTTTGCATTTTATCGATTTAATGGATTCCTTTTTGAAACATTTGGTTTGTGACCGACCGTTCAGCTTTCTGCAAGCCCAGCATGCAGCATGATGTAGCAGTGATGCAGTGGGATGTGGTTGCTAAGAGTTGAAGGCATTACCACTATCGTTCTGCGGTATGAAGCTTTACCACACAGGAGAGAGTGCCATTTCATCATGGCCACTAATGGTGATGGACACAAATTGAACACACACATCTACCCACACAAACACACACACACACACACACACACACACACACGCAGTTAAAACAGCCCTAATCATTGTGAATGCTGACACCTCGTTTTGTTTCCTGCCTGTTTTTGTCAGAGCTGCCAGTAAACACTTACAGGCCCACAGCTTTTGACTAATTCTTATTCACTATCCTTTTCTCCTCTCTGCAAAAAAAAAAAATCGATTGGAGTAAGAGCAAAGGAGATGAAGGGAAAGAAAGGGTGAGTGAGTAAAATAGTGAGCAAATATGACATGAAGAGAGAGAGAGAGAGAGAGAGAGAGAGAGAGAGAGAGAGAGAGAGGGGCAGTGCTATAGTGTATTCTCCACCCAAACAGGACCATAATCATTAGCCTGCTGCTGTGTTTGGTTGTTTGTCTATTTTTTCTATTATGGTCGGAGTCTAAAAGCTTCGCTGGAGCTGCAAATAGTGTTTTTAACGATGTACAGACGCAGTGTGTGACACCTCATAAGGAGAGAGTGAGAAATAGAAGCGAGAGAAGAGACACGAGGGAAACCTATCTATCTATCTATCTATCTACATATATATACATTTGTTTTTTTGTTTTTCCTCTGCCAGAAACAGAACATTTTTTGCAGCACATCACACTTAATGAATTATGGATTTGGGTTGAGGTAACGCTGTTTCTTCACTCGGAGGCGATGAAATCGGGGACCTAAATTACCGTTGCTCATTAAGTACAGTTAGAGAAAGTTGCAGTGTTTTTCTGCCTCTCTACGTTTGATCTTGGCTAACGTACAAAGGGAGGGAATTAATTAACAACTCTCCATGGGAGGGAGAGGCAGGGATGCAGATTGGCTCTGAGGGAGGCAGGGATGGAAATGTGTGTATGTGTGTGTGTGCCGGTGCCTGTTTACACGAGTCTGTATTTATGTATATATCTGTATGTGGGAATGTGTGTGTGTGTGAGGTCATCTGTCAGTCATGTGTTTGTGTACCTGCAAGTGGCTTATTTTAAGTGCGAGTTTTGAATTTTGAAAATATACACATAAGGAGTCTGTTGATGTGTTTTCTATCCTTGGAAGCAGAACTGTAAATACTCAAGTGAGCATGGGCAAAGACAAAGTGCAGAAGTTATTGATTGTGAAAAAGTGAAAAATGAAAGCTCTTTTCACTTGAGATCCTAGGGACTTTTCAGCTGTATTTGAGAGGACAGTGGAAAGAGGAGGAAACAGAGAGAGAGAGAGAGATTGAGGAACGATGTACGAGAAAGGAGCCGAAGGCCGGACTTGAACCAAGGCCGCCTGCTTGGTGGCCTCCTACATTCAGCGCGACCTAAATGCTAGGCCATCTGCGACCCGACCTAACCTTTTTTATTGACTTAGGTCAAACTGAACTTTTTATCCCCAATCAAAGCAAAAAATCGAATTCTATCAGCTAGTTTGAATAAATCAATTGAATTAAACTCAGCTGCCTCTGTTGTCTCCCTGTACTCAATTAAGCAACATTTTGAAAATCAATCCTTCCAAAAACTGAGCATGTCTCCCAGGAATATTGTTTATCAACCAATAACATAATTTTTGCAATTAATTTAAAGGACACTTGATTGCTGCCGACAAGATCTTGTTTGTTTTACTCTCACTCATCCTTAAAAGCCAGGGGTGAAGCTTGTTCATATTTTCTTAACATCATATATTTGCCATTACAGTGTCCTGATTGATCCGAGTTGAATTCACATCACAGAGAGCACTTAAAAAAATGCGGGAGACACACCTTTCCAAGCAGATCCACTCTGATCTACAGTGACAAACTTTTGGCAAAGAGCTTCTTTGAACCATTTCTGATGTAAAGCACCCTTAAACTGTGTCAGAATTATTGTACACTACATATTTAAATAGTAACCTTTTTATTATATTGCATTATTCTGTTATTTTAGCATACATATTAGAAAACTGCCAAAGCTTTGAGTTCAGGTTGTAGGAAGATCTCTGAGAATATTGGTCTGCTCCTGCTTTGCTCCTAAAAATAATATCTTCAGGACACTGCTATTATGATGTCAATTTTCTGTCTTTGAGCCCTCCCTTATTCTCATTTCCTCTCCTTATCAATAACTAAACTACTCCCGACAGCGTTGTGAAGAGTTTCCTTCGATGAAATCTCCATGGGGGTGTAGACTTTCAGTCCCGCCCTGTCTGAGATCAAAAGAATAACTTATGAGCTCTGTTCAGGTTGGATTTTCTCTTTTTAAATCCTTTTCCATGACAAGAGTTGGGGATTTTGATTTGCATATGGAGACGGCTTTTCGACAGGGTGCCGAGCTAATGTTGCTGTAGAACAAGACTTAGTGTCATGTTGCTGTCTAACACGAAGACGGGGACGCTGCTATGTCAATTACACACACTTTGAGACACACAAACACACTAACAACAGCACATTTAAATGAACGTGTTTGCTGGCGTTCACACATCACACACAGCAGCTGAATGTGATGTAGAGCCTAGCCTTATGTCACGGCCCTGTCTGTTTCTAAAGGAGCGGCTCAGTCAACCATAAACTAGATGGCTTCAACAGATACAGAGAAAACCTTGGTGGGTAGCAAGGTCGAGTGTGTGTGAGGGTGTGTGTGTGTGGGAAACAAACCCACACACCTTGAGTGTTTAATACGCGGTCAGCCCCACCTTGAGTGGTTGTAAAATGTGTGTGTTCAGTGTGTGTGTGTGTGTGTGTGTGAGCCTCAGGGGGAGCTGTAGAGCTAAGGCAGCACTTCTGTCAAAGCCATCATCTGAGTTATCTGACTGCTCAGGGCGATGTGTGTGTGAGGCTTATGGGTGTGCAAGCCTAGTATGTGTGTGTGTGTGTGTGTGTGTGTGTGTGTGATGGATAAAGCAGTCTTGGTTATCCTCCTGCTGTCTTATTAAAGGTGGACAGATGTGGAAAAAGCCAAGTACCACTGAGGGAAAAGGGAGAAGGGTCAGCGAGGAAAGGAGGATGTGATTTCAATGATGGGGTGAGAGGGCTGGAAGTGGAAAGTGACATAAAAATAAAGACATGATATACTGTTGAGCATGTTCAGGAAATGGTAGGGGTAACAAGGAGGAATGAGATGTTAAGGATTGAAAGCAGAAAGACATTTTTTCTGACATTAGGGGTTATAAAGTGCAGGAGAAAAGTGAGAAAAGAGAAGACGGAAAAAGCTTTTTAAAAAGACGGGGGTTACAGAATATGAAAAGAGATGGTAAAAAAAATGAACAAAACACAGAGATAACGTGAAAAGGAAGAAAATTGTGTTTGAGCAGTGGGTAGTAAAGAGACAGAAAGTTTGGATTAAAAGGAAGCTGAATCAGAGGAAAATGTGTAGAAAAAAGAAAAAAGAAAATGAAGTATCAAACTAGGTTACGAAAAGTGAAACTATTAAACCTAACATTGAAAAAAAAAACAACCTCCAATTAAGTGTTCAGCAGATGAGAGTGAAATCCTTGCATCATAGTTGTTGTCAGTGGTTCCCCCCAGCACTGGGATGTGAAATATTCCACCACGGGACAACCACTTTGTTCTTAATTAGCTCCAGAAGTCTTTGTGCTTAAGAAGGTAAAACATCTTAACATGACGATGCTTTCTTTTCTGTGTTTACAAAGTGAGACATTTCTTGAAATATGGAAAACCCGATACTATATGAGATGTACATGTTTCTAATGAGAAAGCATTTTTCATAAGGTATGTGAACGTTTAATCACAGTGGTGACCTGCAATTTCATGTTTCAGTGCCATCTGGAGAAAAGAAAAAGTAATGAGTGTGTGTGAGGGCCTTGATGATAAGTATACAAAAACAGATGTAAATAATAATAACAATAATCATATCAATATTTTTATTCAGGATGAATACAGCTAAAAAAAATAGTAATTTTGGTTTCCTTATTAAAAAATAACGTCAGTTCAGTCAGACAACTTGTGTTAAAAAATAGGGCTGTCAAACTATTTATTTTTTAAATTGTGAATCATCCCTGATCTTTGACAATTAATCATGATTAATCACATTTTTTATCAAATGTTTAAAATTATTTTTTTGCATTTAAAAACAGTTATTGTTACGCTTTTATTTTGAAATGTTGTATTGTTTATTGTTATAACATTACTTTACCACAAAAAGGCACTCTTAACGGAACAAAAAGTAAATAAAAACAGCTATAAGGAACGGTGAAAGGTGAATTAGTTGATGTCAGAAGGTGGATATTACTTTTGACTCATCAACTGAACTCTCAGGAAGTTTAACAGGATGACGCTGCAGTAGCTCAACTATGATGGGCCTAAAGGGACAAAATGGTATGTGTTTGATGCAATTAAAAAATGTATGCACTCATATTGTACTTTAATCACATGGTGATTAGCGTAAAGGCTCTTACCTCATCACTAATTGCAGAAATTTGAGGAGTGATGAGATAATATAAACTCCCCAAGCCAGAGTGTGCAGGTGGATGCTGGGGAGGTGTGTGCAGTACTGGTGCAGTGATGTATTGACAGAGCAGAAGAAGAGACTAGAAATGTTGAAGCTTTAATCGACCGCCAAATTGGAAGGATGTGTTTGTCGGGTTAGCTAGGATGAAGAAGCGTGTCAAGCTGAACAAGCTTGCATGTAGTTAAAGGGTTGAGTGATTGAATGATTTAAATGAAAGGGAGTGATTTCATGCATTGCTTAACTCCAGAAAACACAGTACAGATTTGGATCCCTCCAATGATAAACCTGTGTTATTGATAACACAGAAAGTGGGTATGACATGAAACTCTAGTAACTGAGTGTTAAAAGAAAACACAGCTTCAAACAAACATCTTTTCGACGTTTCTGGAAGTGATTACAAGCTCTACTGAGAACCAACAAAGTACTCACTGTCTGTTCCCAGTGCCAGATCCTGCCTGGTCCCGTGTGATCCGTGTCCTGTTGAACTGCTGCTGGCTGTGTGGAGCGACCAGCTCACACCTGACTGAGGATCAGCCGACCAGCCGCACAAGCTCTGCTCAAAGTCACACACAGCCGACAGAGACGGGGTGGTAGCTGCGAAAGAGACACAGATGGTTAATAGAGACGTTTTCAAAGTGCATTTCTTTGCCTGTCACTTTTATTTGCAACGCATTCAGAGTGATTTTAGCACAGTATCCTATTTCAACATTTTATTTCTCAGCGTCATATTATCCTTTTATGCCACTGTGCTCAGCTTCTCTTTATTGTGATACTCCTTTGAAAGAGATTCCCATTGTGTTTAGATGTTTTGGCAATAGTTCTCATATAAATGACATCTCAATAAATCTTACTGAATACAACTCATACTGTAGAAGTGAGATTGTTTGTACAGGGAAAGAGCTTCACAGAAGAGTAAGTGGAGAGGATAAAAGAAAGCAAACATAGACAGGACATGGACATAAAGATACCCGTACAGTAGAGGGAGTTTGGGAACAAAATGAAAAGAAGAAACATGATAGAAGAAGAAAAACATACATAAGAGAGAATGGGGAAAGAACAAAAGCATAATGATTAAGAGAAGAGAGGGTTAAAAAAAAGAAATTGATTCGTCTGTTTAGTTTAAGTCACTTCATTTAGTTAGGACTTTGATCAAAAAAAGAACCCTCTTCAATTACATCACCGTACATTCCTGTTGGCTTCCTGTGGGACTCTTGAATCTAAACGACTTCAAAGCCCAGAGGCCCCCACGATGCTTGATGACATCATGAGTTTGACCTTAGGAGTGGGAGAGTGTGTGCAAGTGTGTGTGGACGAGAGACAGAGACTAAATTAATGTGTGTGTGCTTCGAAAAGAATCCCCATTTTTTTGTGTTTACCTGGTCTCCATGCAGCAGTTGTGTGCTCCTCTCTGGGCACGGTGGGAGTCGCTGTGTCTGGTACAGTTGTGGTTTCTGCAACAAAAATATGAACACTAAAAATTAGAACACAATGCAAAAGAGGAAATAAGTTATTATGTAGAAGATGGCGAGAATTCCTATTGAGACCCAGTATTAGCACGTTATGTCTTGAGACATCATAAGTCCCTGCAGCATCCCTCCATGTTCACTTTTGTCTACAGTATCACCGGCTATCATTATGACCTAGCGGACTTTTTTTTTTTTACTGGGGTGACCTTGCAGGAGCACTGATTTATGCAGGGGTGGCCTGAAGTATGTGCTCACACAAACAGGGATGAATTGCATTTATCTACCATTTCTGCCTACACTTAACATATCCAATTTAACTGCTCAAATCAAAGTATCATACATGTTATATTCCTGTGTAAAATTTCCCAAATTTTCACAATAACACAACAGAGTGGCAAGAAATAAATCTTGGCTTATTGATCTCAACTTCATGACAAAGAAGTTTTTGGGGCAGCCAATGGGGTGGCCGGTCGCATTTTTATAAGGGGTGGCCATGACCACCGTTGCCACCCCCTGATTCCACCGCTGAGCATCTTTCAACTAATGCTGCCCAACTAAGCAGCACCCCTCAGGCTGAAAATTGGAGCAGATGCAGAAATGCCACCTGAGGTTGGCTTCAAAAGCAGCTCAATCCCCATCAGGACAAATATTAAAATGCCCAACTTCACATGAAAATCAAAGAGGTTTTCAGGGTACTACACAAAAAAAACAGTCTCTATAGCACATTTACTCTTATTTAATACAACTTTAGGGGTTGATTTATTTTATGGTTACTTCCAACAAAATAATGCTGCGCTTGAAGTTTCACAACAGCAGTTGATAAATCATTGGGTGACATCAGAATGACTATAGGTGCACTTCCAATATACAGTCTATGAGTTCAATCCTAACAAGAAACTTTAACATTTTGATAGCATGTTAATTATCTTACTATCTAAAGCAACCATTGGCGTGATTCATCTGCTTTAATCATGATACACTTTCAAACATGTGTCATATTTTTTCTTTTTTATGGGGCGCTGGTGGTGCAGTGGTTAGGGCGTGCGCCTCATGTATAGAGGCTGTGGTCTCAAGCGGGCGGCTCGGGCTCGAGTCCAGCCTGTGGCTCCTTTCCCGCATGTCATTCCCCACTCTTCTCCCTGGTTTCCAACTCTATCCACTGTCCTATCTCATCACATGTGTCATATTTTCAAACAGTACTGAGCTCACAGTAACCAAATCTAAGCTCCTCTGTTGAAACACGCACACTTTGTTCCGCAGCTGCTTCACGGCACACTGAGAAAGAGAAATATGTTCACAGACCAGCAGTGATGTTTGAGTAAAGTAAGATTTAGTTTTCATACAGTGACTAATGATGTTTGTACACCCAACACTGTTGTTTTCCGAGACTGTGTATTAAGGCTGAAGTTTGTCATGATGGTGACAGTGACAGAGTGAGCTGGCACTCAGCTGCACACCATGCCACACCACTCATTTTATCCACTGCAGGTTGGCACGCACACACACACACACACACACACACACACACACACACACACACACACACACACACACACACACACACACACACACACACACACACACACGTACAGCTGCAATGCTACGATGATAGATGCTGCACTCACACTGACCTTGGTGCACAGCAGCATGCGGCCACTGTATGATAGATCAAACATGCACACACACACACACACACACACACACACACACAAACGTCAGCAGAGGGGTATGTCAGTGTAACCCAAAGACCTTCTGGTTTTAATAAGCAGTTTTCTTCTGATGGTTAGAAATCCTTAAATGAGTGCTTAACCAGCTCTCTCTCTCTCACACACACACACACACACACTGGTATACTGTATGTAGGGGAACAGAAGATCATCTGGTTAGCGTGGCACAAGGCTCACACCACAAACTCTTTACCACATTATTCCTAGAAATGACTACCTTCTGTCTGATATTTTCTTTTGTTTCCTTCATCGATCACTCAACTCTGAAAATCATCTCCTTCTTTCCATCTTCTCTTTGTCATTTGTCTCCATAAATCTGACCACTTTCAGTTCTGCTATGCGAAACCACAATCAGCACCACAAGGAGCTCGCTCTCCACACATACATACACACATATGCTTTCTCACACACACACACACACACACACACTGGATCCCTCTCTCCGACATAGGGGTGAAACCTTATCTACTGTTGTTTCTGTTTTACCACAACCGCAATTTTCTTCCCCATAACTCTTTCTCTCGCTCTTTCTGTCATCTCTCCCTGAGGCATATTTTAATTTCCACTCTTCCTGATCTTTCTCTCTCTTTGTTAAGATCATGCCTCGTTTTTTTTTTTGTGTGCTCTCGTCTCAACCTTTCAGCGCTTCTCCCTGTGCTGTAACTCTGTCTGGTGTTATTTTATGTCAGTTCTAACCGCCAGGTCAGTAAATCCGAGACCACTGTTGATTTACTGCTTGTTTGGTTTCTTCTCGATGTTTCCATGACTCACTTGGTGATCTGCATGTGTGTGTCTGTGTGTCTTGTTTGGTATGAACTCTTGACCTATGGTAGCATTTAGCTTTGAGTTGACTGCATTGTGTGTATGCACAACTTTATTAAGTCGTTAGCACAGTCTGCTCACAGTGAAAGCATGCAGGATTATTATGTAAGCCAAAACAGAATGGCTTCGTATTACTGTCCCTGCACACACGTATTTTGCACGCCACACACACACACACACACACACACACACACACACACACACACACACACACACACACACACACACACACACACACACACGCACACACACAAACATGATCACGCGCAGAATTAGATATTAACATTGGATAAGTAGCTCCCAGCTGCTGACATTAAGCTGTTTTAATTTGGTGCCCTTTACCTCTGTAATTAGCCCCCCCATATGGAGAGGAGAGGAGAGGGAGGAATGGAAATGAGAGAGGAAGAGAGAGACATATACTGTAGATAGAGAAAGTGTGAGAGAGAGAGACATGGAGAAGGGAACACAACCCCTTTCAATCTCTCTCCACCATTTTCCTAATTAGTGACCACACACAGCTCCTGTCAGCCTCCTATTTCTATCTCCATCTCCACTACATCCGTCTAATCCAATTTTGTTCTCTGTCCGTCACCTCCTCTCCTCTTATTTCTCCCTTTCCTCAGCCTCTTCATCATCCTCCTCCACCCTCGTGTTCCTATCCATCATGGCTATGGCTGTAGCTACTGTAAAGGTCAGTACATTAGTAAAGATGAATTACGTTACAATTAAACTTATTCTGGTAGTTATTATGCATACATTTGGGATTCACAAGTTACTTTTGAAAGACGTTTTGCCTTTTATCTGCTCATATGAATTTGATTTCTGTTCGAAGGAAGTGTCTTTCGTCACTTCTCTGGGAAAGTTAAGGATGACAAGAGTCAGTTATGTTTCAAACACAAAGATTCAAGCGTGATTTTAACAAAAACGCCAAATTGTTTACATCTGTACCCTGCAGATGGGTCATCCCCAACACCACTTAGTAACATCAGTATGTTATGACTCTCCAGCTCTTTCTTTCTCACAACACACCTCAAACTGAGAAACAGTGAAGGATTTAGTTCTGTTAAACCACACACACAGTCACACACCTTGTCTCCAGCCTCAGGGCTCATCGTAAAGCTGCTGACTGTGCAGGCTGAGGCGGAAACAGAGAGACGAAAACTGTTCAATTATGGAAAGCGCTCTGGGTATAAATCTACCTCTGTCAGCCTAAATAATGACTACTGACTCAGTGTGTGCGTGTGTGTGTATTTGGGGAAGACAGTTAATATCGACTCTTGTCAAATTATTGGTGACATTGTGCATGTGTGTGTGGAGGGAGTTTCCTTAACTTAATGATGATGTGATTGCCTGACGGCCTGAAAGGTACTGAATGAGTCTGTGTGTTCATGGTTGTGTGTGTGTGTGTGTGTATGATCTTTACAACAGGGACCTCCACTAATGGTAAACGACCATTAGCTGTTACCACAGGCTAACTTGTCTGCTGTCTGCATCTGTTAACTATAAAACGGTCTCCAGCAGCTCTTTACAGTTCAGCGTGTACAGCGTGTACATTATAATACTAGACATCATAATACTACAAAAAACTTAAATCATGCAAAAAAACATGTATGCTGTGTTTGTATTGAGGTAGTGCATTCTGATTTTAGGATTGAATATATTGCTATAATGTATAATATAAGCAAAGTCATATTTGGCATTTTTTTAATCACATTTTTTGGAAAACTTTAATAATATAAACATAAGTATAACCATAATTTTAAAAATAAAGTAACATAGAGCCTTTAATGCTGTCAGGGTAGTTCAATCAGCATTTGTTTTTATATGAATATAACTTCCTAGTACTACTTTTTGTGTTCTGAGCTAAAAATATAACACATTTTTGGACTTGATTCCGACTCACACTAGACACTCAAAGGAATTCATACTTTTTTTTTCATCCTTAGTTTTTATGCAAGTGTAAATGGTAAATGGACTTGAGCTTATATAGTACTTTTCAAGTCTTCTGACTGTCACATCTACCCATTGACACCCATTCACACACTGATGGTAGAGGTTGCTATGTAGTAAGACAAAGCAGCCAGAGCAATTGGGACACATCGGACACATTGGACATGTTACTGCAGGAGCTGGGAATCCAACCCTCGGCCTTCTGGTTGAGAGATGGCGACTCTACCAACTGAGCCACAGCTGCCCTGAAATGGTCTGCTTACAAGGAATAAAGCACTACTTCTTGGTGAAATACAAGCTGAACTTCATGGCGGTAAAGAATCTGAAATGTTGGAGTATGGCACAAGTAGAAAAAAAAGTTTTGGGATGAAAGTAATTTCGGTGATATGAATAGAAAATCAGTCCACTGTGCTCCAAAACCAAAAGTACAGGTTTGATTTGTCTGCATTTTAAAGTGCCGGACTAATTATTCTCCCTCTTGTGTAG